ATTACATACAATTGCTGAGTACGTATAGTACCGTGCATGGCACATCTTTAGACCTGATTATCGTGATACAAATTTGACGGGATTTTCACGATCTGTTAAGGAAATATTTTTTGAATAAATGACTACAAACTTGGCGCACAAGAAAATCGTTATAAAATTCGGACTTTGAATACCGATAATAATTAGCGAGCTTACGGTTTAGCAAAAAAGTTTTTCCTAACCACAAGTTGATTAAGGTGCGTATGATTATAATTATCAACCAAACGGGTAGATGGACGAATTAAATAATGTGCTTATTAAGAAATTTTATCATTTATCTCTTAAACATATTACAGTATTATATTATGTAAATATATTATCTGTAAATAGATTTTATTTTAATTTATATACAGTATATACTAATACTGTATATTGTTTCGAAATAAGCTTAGGTCACAGGAAACGTCATGTGATTATAATCTAAAAATAGATCCCACGCTCAATTTTGATAAATTAGATGACTTGTGTTACATTTATCAATATCCAAAAATGGAATAGTAATCTAATACAATTAACGATATTAAGAAAAAAAAAAGCCAAATGTTGAAAATTGTATAATACAAAGAAAAACTTTGCTATTCTCTATTTTCTGTAAAGTTTTGGTTTAATACGAAACAATTAAAAAAAATATGCATGCGTACTGTGCAATGTTGATAAATATATTTAAATAACTTGTGTGAAACAGATTACTAAGAAACGAGTTTTTTGTACCAACGAAAATTAGAAGAATTCTTTGTTCTCTAAATTATTGATAATTACCTATTTTGAAAAGTTACTGTTTAACATTAATATATAATATTCAAAAGATTCAAAAGATTTTAAAAGTGTAATAATTATGAATCTTTTATCATTTATTCTATTACAATGAGGAATACTTGATATTCAACAGGATAAGAATTCATTTATAAAACTAATTGATATATCTAACTTTAATTCTACCATCAAAGTTTAAAAGAAGCTTTTTTCGATGAAAAAATTGTTCTTTAAGAATTATGTTGATCCAATTTTTAGAAATCCTATGACAATAATGCTTACGCTGAATGAATTTCCTTTCCGTGATTAATCGAATTTTTTTTAATTTACATTCTGTAACACGAACGTACGTAATTACATACTTGAATACGTAAGTACGTACCGTACGTACGTACGTACGTACACATCAAATTTATAGGACAGTCATCGGTCTAATTTTAGACATATGCGCAGCCGGTATGTCAATTCCGGTGCGTGATGACGGTCTAGGAAAGATTAGGACGGTCATATGCTCACATGTTCACACAAATCATTATTAATCTCTTAATTTGTCTAATCAATCAACCCCTATCGCTATATTAATTTTTTAAGTTCAGTTCATGTTACGCATAACAAGTTATCGTTATTAAAATTTAGGATATATTAGATATTAAATTTAGCATTAAATAATGCTAACGGTTAAATTTTATTCGATCTCCGGAAAAAAATCTCCGAATTTCTTTTGTGTTACACCACTGCGGTGCCAAAATCGACCCTCGGTAATAAGTGTATACATGCGAGTGAACGTAATGAATGCAAAGCATATCAAGTAATAAAATATTATTGTACGTACATCATTACAAATTAGGATTCATAATGGTAAATAAACGTTCTTCGAACTACCTCGATTTTTCTTTACCCTAACACTACGTACTCTGAATATAACTGCTAAAAAGGGTTGCTTATAGAACTAATTTTTATACTATCATACAATACTTTTTACTAAATACTTATAAATGGATGTTTAGAATTTGAAGTATGTACATACACACGTTGTAAGGTGGAAAACTAGTTGTTGGCCAAAATTAGCTCATAGCTTTGCTATACAAAATAGAGCTAATACTAAAAGCTATCTAACAAAACTCGAAACTTGAAGAGGGCCCCCTGAATATTGTTGCGGCGATATCAGGGTTCACACTTGTGCGTTTGTTTATTCTCTCAATTCTATTTTTTGACTTTGCTCCTCCTCCCCTCAAATTTGTATCACGATAATCAGGTCTAAAGATGTGCCATGCACGGTACTATACGTACTCAGCAATTGTATGTAAT